GTCATCAAACCTTAAATGTCTTTTGAAGAAATTAATAACAGCTTTTCCAGGTAGATGTTTTTAGGCTGTTTACTTCACCATTAGACACTACACTTGCTTCGTCTCTGAGAACGTTAAAAAAAAAATGCTTTGGATTAGAAGTTGTTCTTTGAAGCTTGATATAGAAAATGTTGCTACAGCACTGTCTATCACAAATACACAAATATACACACATGCACACAAACACAGACACCAACACCTCAATGTTCAAATGTTGTTAGGAATAAGAAATTAAAATCCCTCTTTATTTCCCTTTCACCCCTCTTTGGTGGTCTTATTTTTACCTAAGTTGTCTGTTAATAAACAGAAAAATTAGCAATAAAATGTAAGATCCCGTGGGGAAACAAATAATACTGTCTGTAATAGAAATGTCAAGGGCTACTGATGATATGTGCATGCTGAGACCATGAACCAAAGCATGTTTTGGGAAATAGCCAATTAAATTAGGTTTGGAATATGAGGTGATGAAAAAAGAAAGCTCTCCTAACAGCCAATGGCCTGAGTGACCTAAAGAATGAATGCTGTTTACTGAACAGAAAGGAATGTTGGAATTTGAGATAGTAAAGGCTTGAGATTCCTTTCAGGCATCCAAGTGCAGGCATGGAGTTGGCTGAGAATATCAAAGTTGGAGTCATCTGTTACAGCTGGTCTTTGAGGAGATAATATGGAGAAGCTAAGCAAGGTAGTGAGTACTATCCGTAAGCAATAGAACGGAAGTTCAGGTGGGATCTTTGCTGTGTTGCAGATGAGGAAACAGAGAACCAGCGAAGTTGCAGAGGGCTGGCATAGACTTTGTGGCCTGTCCAATGCGTTCATGTGTGGTTTCTCCCGCCCCGTTCCTTTTGCAATCCACTGCTTCTTTGTTTCTTCTCTTATGGCTACTACCCTTGCTCCTCTGCTTCTTGTTCTGGTTTATTCGGATATGCCCAAGGAATAAAATGTCTGATGAAAATCGTAAAGCTAGTATCTTCACAATACTTCTTTTCCATTGAATGAGATCCAATTAAGTGTTATCTCTTTATTCAATACACTTTCTCGAGCTGCCTCTGCCTATTCAGAAATTTTGCTTCGTTGGAACATCATCACATCTCTAAGTGACTAAGCGATTCCCCTCCCTTGCACCTCCACACCTGCATGGAAAATATCATTGCTTGACTCGCCTCCACATTCTGATAATTTTGTAATTTTTTTCAGTGGTTTTCATTTTAAATTCATGTAAGAGAGTTTTTGGTTGATTTAGTTTTTCCATAACGTGGTAAAGCTGCTGGCTCTGCCTTCACATTACATACAAATTGAACTCGTGAACTGCCTATTCCAGGTTCACCTGGCTGCACATGGGTACCGGAAGTCTACAATGACTGGCCTGTATAGACTTGTTTAATTTGATATTTCGATTATGTGTGTAGAGTAAAGAGGTAAAATATCAAGAGAAAGAAAAATCATAGATACTTCCTGTCTAAATCATCAGAAAGTTAGCAAACCAATTAATAATTGACTTTAAAAGTAGCAGCAGAAATTATACACAGAGGGTCTACAAGTTTATATCATTATATCTGAATGACAATCAATATGGGGAAAGGATAATATGATAAGATACTGAGAGAGGATAAGAAAGATGTTCAGGCTCTTCTCATCACCTAGACTTGTCTTTTGGAAAGGATAAGAAGAAAAAGCTTGAAAAAGAAAATCTTAAAATATAAACTAGTCTCAAATCCCTCAATCTGAGAAGACTCCAAATGGGAGTTATATTGAATGCTGGGCAAAAACAAGAACCACTGAACTGTAGAAGTCATTGACTTAGAATAGGAATATATATATATATATATATATATATATATATATAATATATATATATATTATATATATAATATACACATTAATGTTTTTAGGAGATTAAATATAAAAATTTACAATTCTCAAAATAAATACTATCTCATAATAAACTAAATTTCTATCATAATAAACAAAAATTTCATAGCATAAAAATATAAAAAAAGAAAAATGCACTGTAAAGAAATAGGAGGCTTAGGACAGGGAGACTGGAGAAACTCCAGAGGTGCTCTTTTTCCTGAATACAGAAAATCAAAGTTAAGAGAAGTCTATTGCCTGAGTCCTCAACTACATTCATGGACCAAGACTGAAGATGGGTCAGATAACTTGAAGAAAAGAACATCAGGGGCTGATTTGTTCTGGCTGCAGTAAAGCTTTCCTAGATGCACCTGGATTGAAGAGGTTCCTACAGTCTGAGGTTCCCAGAATCATTACCCACAGCTTCAGATATATTCTTCATCCTGAAAGCCCTTCTCTGTACTGGGAGAGCTAAGCAGCGGGAAGAAGAATCCAGGTGAAACACAGAAGGAAGGCTCTAAATTCATGGGTGGGATTTTGTCAGCATTTTTCAATGTTACATTGGAAAGAATACAAGAACAAAATAAGGAACTTGTAATGCAAATCATACCAACTATGGAACAGGTCTCAAAGCAATTAGCCCAGATTAAAACAGACAGTGAGACAACTCCAGGAAACAGGACTGCAAGAATAGGATTCAGATGGTTTCCAGGTAATTGAAGGTTCTAAAAAGAACAGCTATAGCATAGCATAAATAGGATCTATTCAAGTAGTGAATAAGTTGTGTGAGAGTCTGGAACTCATCTTGGGTAGGATAATGTATTTGTTTTCCCAGTGAAGCACATGAATAATCTCAGCATAAACAGAACCAAAAAATGACAGTTTAATCATATAAATAAATTGGGCCAGATTCTCATTAATCAATGTAAAGTAAGAAATAAGTCCAATTTAACTCTGAGCATTGCCTTTTTGTTACTGTACTGCTGTGATATCTGAGCTCTGAAGGGAAAAAGGAATTTTAGCATGTCACCTGGCCCAATAATGAATGAACATTATCTTCCTATTCAACATATTCAATAATGATCTATTGTTTATCAGCTTATCAAAACAAAGACAAAAGACAAACAAATTCGATCAAACTCAAAGATGTAAATGAATGAATGAAAAGGACAGCGGGGAATAAAGGTGGCATCAGTCAAGTGTCTTTGCCTTGCATGGGGGGTTGGGCTCTTTAGGGTAAGGTCAGAGAAAATGAGGAGTCGTCTTGTATGAACTAAATGTTCCTGCTTCATAATAGATCTCTATGTGTGAAGTGAGTAAGTGAAGGATTACTGAACAAGGACATACATAACCTCAAGAGGAGTGTGAACTTGATTTAAGAATGATGGCCTGTGGGGAAGACAGTGGAAAATGATATTCACACATGAGATTGTCACTGGCTTTTGTTAAGAGACCCACCACAATGTTTCTTTGCTACTTACAGTTAAATACTGTATTATCACCTTCATTATATTTTTGAAAAATAACATTAAACACAAACTCACTAGAAATGAGCAGGAACTACACAAAAGGAGATATTTTACAGAATTATATGGAGGATTAATAAGTAGAAAACAATATCTTTTCCTACACTGACAATATTTGAGAATACTTTCATTTTTTGTTAAATAATCTAATGTGACCTCAGTGAATTAATACCAAGATATTTTAGGGGAAAACACTTAAATTATTTTTATAATAAAGAGTTTTGAAGAGGGACTAATAACCCTATCAGTTATTAAAATATACAATTACTGATCAATTTAGAAGTGAAATAGAATGATGGAAAGAATAGAAAAGTAATAGAACCATAGCTCTACGAGTAGGCATTGTATGATAAAAGATATTTCAGATTAGGGAAGAAGATGTTTTTACTTAATCACATTGTTCCCAGTCAACTGTTTACATATTGTGAAGAAAGAATTAAAATTAATCCCTGTCTTGTTACATATTTGATAATAAGGTAAGACTTAAACTGGTCCAAAAGCTATTTCATATTTGACATGTTCAGTGTAATAAACTGGAAACTATTGCACAAAGCCATAGGTGGCTGTACACATACTGTTGTGGTAAACAAAGAGAGGACTGTCAGAATACGGCATACAGAAATTTTAAAGTTACATTGGCAAAACGTGCGGAGAACGACAGTTTCTGTTGCATTTTACATGCATGCTAAGCAGGTGCTGCACGCTGCCTTCCCAGCCCTCTGTTGTACTTCTCCAATAAATCATGTTTTCATTCTATGCTGTCTTATTTATGTTCATTTTCTTACCGTTTGTTTATAAATGTTTTAGGAGATGGCACCACACCTTATTCACCTCAGCCTGTCAGCATTTTTTAGGAAAAAAAAATCTTAAGGCATCAGATGTTTTTAATACAGTAGCTGAAATCATTTGACCAATGGATACCGTACAAACAAAGTTAACCTATTCCCTCACGTGCTTTAGGCAACGGAATTCACCTTTAAAACAACACATTTCTATTTTCAACCTCAGGAAACCTAAATAATGTAATGTTGGGAATGTTAAAATAACTTGCTGAAGATAAAAAAAAATAAACAAACTGTGTAAGCAAAGATAATTTTTTGTTTCTTGATAGTATTTACCCCTAACAAAACAAATTTTAATTAAAAGTAATTAGTTTCTAAAGCTGAAGAGTTTGATGTAACATTTAATCCTTTGTTCTCAGCTCTTTCTCACAGTGCTTGAATTGCTTTCCCTTGATTTATCAGAAAAGAATCAATAATGCCAACAATAAAGTCTTCAGCAGAATACCATAGGCTAATTTATTTTATTTTCCATTTTTAGTTTAGGATATTTGAGGGGGGGTGCTGCTGTTGTCTTGTTTTGTTCTTCTCTGTGCACCCCAGTGTGCAGTGCCCTCCAGGGCCAGAAGAGAGCAATGAATGCCCTTGTCCTGGGATTAGACAGTTCTGGACCGCCAGTTGTAGGTACTTGAACCTGAGTCCCAGCAAGAACAGTCGTCGCTCCGGCCTCTCAGAGCTGCTTTGCATTGCATTCAGACGTAACTTACACCTGGGTCAGTCGGTGTAACCCTCCGTTTCTCTTGTGCAGGCCTTTATGTCCATGTTCCAGATCCTCACCCAGGAGGGGTGGGTGGACGTGATGGACCAGACCCTGAACGCCGTGGGGCACATGTGGGCGCCGGTGGTTGCCATCTACTTCATCCTCTACCATCTCTTCGCGACTCTGGTGAGCTTGTCCTTTCCTTAAAGTTATCTCCTGAGGCTCATAATGGGACGAACGTTGCTAGATGTCTGACATGGTGTCAGTTTAAAAGTAAGAGATAATTAAAACTGCAGAGCCATCTCATTACATGAGATCCCTTCCATCGCAAATGCTAGAAATCAAACAACTCCTTGGGGACTGTGTTGTCCTTGGGGACACGTGTTTGCATGGGGAATACAAAACAAACAAAGCGCATAGTCACACGTCAGTTTACCAGCCCTCCACATTTACCCAGAGCCAAATCCAGAGATTAAACGTGAACTACAGCATTGCTGTATTTCAGTGTGCAGCGATGTTCTCTATAATTTCACTACATCCTCTTCACAGCTGTAATTAAACTAAGACAGCAGCTGGAAACTTTGGGGTACAGTTGGTTAATTAGAAATCCACAGTGTTTCTGTAGTGTGTGCCATGCAGCGAAGCACTGGAGAGAAGATAAAATGCCTAGCTGAAACTATTCTGAAAGCACAAGACAACAGAATGCCGAAATCCAGAAAAGATTGGTGTATGTCATTCGTATGGACTGTTCTCTTCAATCACAGAAGATGAACACTTTTTGCTTTGTATTAAAAACAGGGAAGGGAGCCTATAGAATACTGCCTCTACTACACGGAAGAAGTGAATTGCATTTCTACATCATGGCCTTGTTCCTATTTAACATTATTCTCTAATATCGTGATAACAGCTACAAGTCGCATGTTACCTTTTTTCTAGAATGGATAAAATAAAATTTACTTCCACTATTTAGCATGTGACAAAAAGCTTTAAGATATTAGTTCTGATCTTTTGGACAGTCAGACAAGGAAATCTTATCAAGTAGCTGATGACAAAATTGAGGCTTGGGGGAGTTTAGGAATTTTCCCAGTACCACTCTAAGGATAAATGGGGGTCAGAATATTCTCACCTGTGGCTGGTCTTGTGCATGCTTGTTGTTTCCTTAGATAGAAAAATTGAAAGTTGTCACTTAGCATGCCAAAGTAAAGTTTGACTCAAGAAAAGACTCGCTCAACTAAAACAAACTTCTTACCACCTCTAGTGTCCTTTCAATTCTAAACACTTATGAATTGAGTAAGTATTTGAGAAGTTACGTGTGATGACTCAGAAGTGGCCTTTACTGTAGACAAAGGCTTTCAAAACTAATACATGCTCACCAAAACAAAGATCCTTGGTTAAGTGGTGTAAAGTCATGTGTTGAAATGGTAGAAGGATGCAGAGACAGCTTGACGCTGTTTAAATGGAGTCGACCGAGCTAACACTGGACAGTGGGAATGGGCCTGGCTTCCAGAGCTGTGTGCCTGTGCTGGAATATGTGCCTTGGTTCTAGGCTTTTGCATCCTCCCTTCCAGCTTGTTTACATCTGTGTCACTTCTCAATTACTCACTCATTCATTCACTAATGTATCTTACTAATGTTTAGTAAGTACCTATCATGTTTTTAAATCAGTCTGGCACTACAGCAGCTTGAAGACTATTGACCGTAGGTTAAATGCAGGATAAATTTAATATCAACACACAAGTGAGTAATTAACCTACTTGTCTTCTGATAATCTAGTTTTTTTCTTACTAAGATAATATAACTGTTCACCATCCTCATTGCAGATTATCACTCTCAGATATAGATTTGAGTGACTCAAGAGTCATGAGGGTAAAAGCCAGGAAAAACTGTATCCATCCTGGTACATAACCTAAGAAAGTAATTTTTAATTAAAATTCTATGTGGATCACTTATAGAATAAAGGACAGTATTTAAAACTTCCACCTAGCCTTCTCAGGAAACCTAAAATTTTAAGTGCCCCAAATATGGCATTAGTTATTAATTATTACTTTATCACACTCAAAGAGGCATGGGCTTTGAAATGTATGGAAATAACATAAAAATTTACATTCAATTCCATCCTTTCTTCTGCTGATTTATGTGTGTGCCTGAAACACATATTGCCATTTTTCATTATAATTTTAAATGTCTAAGATAAAAACTAAACATTGAAGTTATTTGTTATGTTATTGACAATCTTTGACATATATAAAGCAGTAAGGAGTTGAAAAGTCTTTGTGCCAACCAAAAGAAGTTTGGTAAATATGGTGCAGACAGAGGCATGAAGCTGGAGTCCAAGGACCTAAGTTAGCTTTAATGATCACTAGAAATGAGAAGTTCAGTGCATCAGTTAACTTCGGAGTTACGCTGGGTCACACCTGAAAGTAAGCATATAATACCTAATCCAAGTACTTCCCAAGTTCCATGTGTGTTAGCTCTGTCTGCATTCCAGAAGATTCTTTGATCAATGGAAAGACTCATTCCTATTTTAGAATGGTTGAACTGAAAAAAACAAGTATGTCTTCAAATAAGTGAAATGCAGAGATTTACTGTATGAATCTATTAAACTATATATTGTTTTAATTTATCATTTTAATGTTTTGTACTGTAGAGTTGGAAGATTACTAATAATATAGTTTAGTTTGTAGGACCCTGCTCCATATGTGATAGCAACCATTCCTGACTGTCATATATGACACTGAAAGCAAAGCTATATGTGGTCATGTGTTCCTCTCCTGACATATCATTAATAGAAATAATTCTCAGAATAAATGTATCAAGCTCAGTATATATGATGCAATCACATTTATTTCTAATATTCTCTTTATTTTAACACACATAAGCCTAATTCCTAGATCATTAAAATATGCAGTCAGTGCTGGTCCGTTGTCTTATTGGACTTCTTCCCCAGCCTTGTTTCAGTTTTCCAAGGCTGAGGCTTCAGAGTCACAGCACATCCATTCACACGACCCTTTCTCTAGGATCTATACCCAGCTTTGAACCTTGCCCCGGAGCGCTCTATACCAGGAATCTCCCAGGCCATATAAAAAATCTGGTTCACCATCCAGATTTCTGCAGCCCGTGAGTCACAAATGTTTTCATCATCTTTACATGGTTATGTAACTAGGTATCACATGAGACCTTGATGTTGCTTTATGGCCAAAGCGTAAATCATTCACTGCATGCGAAAAGTAACAGACCATTGCGCTAAGAAAAGACTACAATTATTTATTTTCTAAAGCACAGTGGTTCAGAATTCCTGTGTTCTTGTGCTATCATTTATGTTTGATAGTATATACTGCTTTTTTAATGTCTTGATACTCTTGGTAGGGAATGGTACACTGTTTTGCCTTATTTGCATTTTCACATTTTTGTGACTATTCAGGGAAAAATTCCCTGCATGGCCATTGGGCATCTTCTCAGTGACTCACCCAGTCACTTGCTCTTCATGTTTTCTAGGGACTCGGTTGTCTTTTTTAAGTTCATTTGTAAGGGTGGCACATGTTTTGAATTTTAATCCCTTGGTTAGTATATGTGTAGAAAATCTTTTCTTTGATGGTATGTTTTATTCCAATTTTCCTAAGATTTTTGACACATTTAAATATGGCTAAAACAATCATTTTTCAAATATAATCTATATTTTTAACTCATGCTTAATATATTCTCTTTCTAAAGTTATAAAGATACTCTACTGTATTTTTTCTTATGATTTAAATTTTTACTTTTCTTTCTTAGTTCTTTTCTTTGTGCTTTTTTTCTTTCATTTTTTTTTCATGACAGAGCTTCTTCATGTAATCCTGGATGTCCTGGAACTCTCTCTGTAGACCAGGCTAGCCTCAAACTCAAAGATCTAACTGTCTCTGGCCCCTGAGTTCTGAGATTAAAGGTGTGTGCCATCACTGCCCAGCTGCTTTTTAGATATTTAACCCATCTTGACTTCAAATTTATGTGTAGTAAATGTTAAATGAAATGGGTAAATAAAACTCAAGCCATTTTTACTCCACCAGATTTTTGTGAGAATTTTAATGCATTAAATATTTACTTGAGTTTCTCTGGTTATTAATATATAGGAAAAGGTTAAATAATTAGACTTTTAAATTTATAAATAATATCTTAGTGAAAGTATTAGCATAGTGAAAGAAAACACTGTCACTAAATTATTTTTTAAATATAACATATATATGTTACCCAAAAATTTTAGTTGCTTTATACATCTTACAAATACTTTGCTTCAGACATGATCAGCCATTATTTTCTTTGTTATCTGAATACTCTTAGAATGATAGTCACTAAAGCGTTATATTATCGGGTTATCCTTGATTCATTTAGCACGGCTTTACTGAATCTCTACAATTATGCATAAAGGAGGCAAAGTGGGAAATATCTTAACCAAAACTAGTTAGGTCTCCCAACTACTCAGAAGTTAATATTAGTCAACACAAACACATCAACAAACACTTAAGACCCAGGACTAGGTAAGAAGACGCCCAGTTGCTTGCGTTATGATCAGAGCCTACATAGTAACTTGTGCTTCCTGGTTTTCCATGTCATCTCATGTGAAAAATTTTAAATGGGGCCATTCCAAAATGGAGTTATGGTTAGATACTAATTAATAATTTTCAGAGATAGATTTTAAATCAACATATCAATATGTTCATAGAAGTGGTGAGCCTGTGTAACAGAGAAAAGTGTTATAAACTAAACTCCATGTTTCACAGACCTGTCTGTGGCTTGTTAAAACGAGCATCTTTGTTAAATTGTTTGTTTCTAGTAAGTATTATAAAAAGCAACTCAACTCAATTTCGAAGGAAAGTTGACAGATATGTGTAAACTCTCAGGAGTAATTAGTCTTTTAGTCCATGCTGATTAGTGGAACCGCCAACGAGAAGTGTTCCTGACCCAGGGTCAGGCACGTGCATGGTAGGAAAAATAAAATAAAATTTGGCCACAGCAGCAGGCCAGAATGTTGCATGCTTCTGGGGACACCAATTTGTCTGCTCACAATGACAATCAAGCTTCAGTGTACAGCAAAAGCATACTCCTCACTATTATCTATTGTTCCTTTGAATGCTCTCTTCTGCCAGGTATGTGTTCAGTATCTCTGTCCAAAATGGTTGCAGTTTACTATATGCTTGTAGAATTTACCTTTT